AATATTGCTTTTTACTTTTGTGACCTATTATTAAATAGAATTGGATTTCACTTCTATGCTTTTTTATATAAATTAGCAGTTTGGAAAAGTTGAAATATTTTCAAACGTCAATATTTCATTAATTGTTGAGTTGGATATCTGGACTCGATTCGCTTGCAGGAAACTACATCTTTTATTAAAAAAAAAAAAAAAAACATTAAAAACTCCATAGATTTTGAAAGAAATAAACTTAAATTATAATAATATAATAGTGAAAAAAGTATTCAGAATTTTGCAGTTTAATATAATTTTTTACACATATGAAATTTACACTTTTTTTTTTTTCAATTAAGTACTGTCATTATCAGTTTTAAATATAACACTTGTGAATTGATGACATTATTATTATTCAAGTTTTTTTCTTTCAAAAAATTATTCGTTTCTTGTTATTAATGAATTATATATTCATCTAAAGACATTAATTAATACCTGCATGTTTTTATCACATTCTTCATCTAAAATTAGAACTTTCTGTGCTTCTTAACAATTGAAATTTAATCATTAATTCTTGTTCAACATCAAGATTAATTGTTACTTATATTTCTTTTTTTTCAATACTCATTGACAATTGTGTTTATAAATTACTTGACATATAAATAAATTCGGAGTGTAGAGTCAACATGTAAGTGTGGCTGAAAACAAGACCTACAGTTACACCCACCCATTCAACCTACATCCACTATTGATTGATTGATAATTTATCAATGATAGTGGGATATCATTATAGATAAATAAATAGTGAAACATTTTTTTTTTCTTCTCCAGTTGTTATTTACAACGTCAAAAAAAGAAATAGGTCACCATACACTATAGGTGACTATGTCAAATTTGTCCTTCCTACTGTTGAGTAATTATAAGCAGAGCAGCATAAAACTAATCGTATCATGCGTTCGAGAAAAGGATAAAATGTTTGACATGATCTTCGCAATAAGATTATGAATAGATCAAGTATGAAAAAGACTAACCCTACACTCTAATCATCTAGAGAAGATAAACAATTAGATATAAATAATATTGAAATCATAGATATATTTTAAATAAACTTAATTAAAATATTTAATAATTAGTTCAAAGAATGAAAAGTTTTTTTTTTCAAGATTATGCTTTATTAATGCTATATTTGTAAATAAGAAAATAATATTATAGTTTATTATTTGAATAAAAATCTATCGAAAACAATAATTCAAACTATTTTTAGTATGACGAACAAATTAAACAAAGTATCTACAATCATATTGACTATTGCAATCAGTCACTACTTTAATATGTAACTAGACGCTATGTACAACTATGTATGTGATCTAATAGTATGTCTTTCACTACAATAATTCAATAGAATAACTATCGATATAATTATTATCAACAGATAGAATAATAATAACTTTAAAAAGAAATTTTCATAAATATGATCAAATTTCGTTGTTGTCACACATCTAACAAATCCATCTTTGTTCTCTAGTTTCATTAACATTAACATGTTCGTTTGCTTTATTATATAATCACTGACGAATTAAGCAAGTTGAAGAAAGGGATCAATTTACTAGAATTTTGAAGGACAAACTTTTTTCAAGTCTCAAATCTTGTTGACTAAATAGCATATATTTTGGTTGATACTAATGTAAAATTATCCTTTTAATACAATATGAATTCATAGATTCTACCAAACAGTACATATTTCTTTTCTATAACTATCGTCTTTAGACTAACGTAGTTGATAAACATACAAGGAAATCTACAATGATCATTTGATATCCTTTATTATTGAAATATTTTTTATTTGAACTATGTTTTTATTTCAAGATATATTCATATAATAAGATTAATTAGAGATTGATAATTATCCTACGATGAGAATGATATTATCGATCAGTGAAAAATTATCGAGTATAATTGTATGTTCATTATAGTATTATTAATAGAAAACAAAAGTTCCAAATATTTCTCGAATTGAAGATTATTTTTGTTAACATTCTGGAAGCATTATATCTCTAGTGTAAAGAAATTGTGACAATCTTCATGATATTATCATACAAAAATGTTTAAAACGAAAAAGTCTCGACAAATTATAAATAAGTCTGAATTTATAGGAGATCAAAATCGAAAAAAAAAAGTATTTTTAAATTTTTATTAATCGATAAGAATATTTTACTATTGTAGAGACTCAAATATTTTTTTTACAATATGATTGTTCGGTATAACTTTCTATTAAATTCGATTTTATAGAAAATAAACTAAAATCAATTTTGACTTTCTAAAACGTTCTAAGTAGTTTTCTGCAATCAGTGACACAACAATTCTATCTCATATGAACAAAAGTAACCAATAACTATTTAGTTGTTTTTCTTAACGTTTATTACAGAAATTAACTAAAACGATCTTTTTATATAAAATAAAACCTTATGTATTTAGTTTTTATTGTGGATATATGTGCGATCCGTATGATCTATTGTAAACTCAACTTAACAAAACGAAACTTCTAGTTACTAGCAGATTCGATAGTATTCGAAATAAGCCGTACAAATTTGATCAAACTTTCGCCGAACGCATGCTGTACTATTCAATAGATTGAGACTTTTTGAAAAGCAAAATATTGCAGAAATGAAATTAGCATTCGGAAATAATGTTCACGAACTTAAAGAAGAAATTGACGTGAGATACACATATGCAATAACTAATTTTTTTTTCCATGGAATTCTAGTACCAAATTAATAAAGCATTCTTTCATTTGGTCTTTATTCTCTTTCTCTCATATATTCATTTGATTCTCCTATAGAAGCTTGAGTTGTAGGTTTTAAAATCAATATACCATTTCATCTTAATAATACTTCTTGTTTTTCGCTTCTTTCAAGAGATAGATATTGTCGTTAACAAAACACACACAATGAAAATTTAGACTATTTGAATAATGAATTGTTTACTAGTATCAATGAATCGTGCCAATTTAAAAGCAAGTCTGATGATATTTATCTGTAAAATAATCAAAGTATAATCATATTATGAAAAAGAGAGATTATTTACTTTTATAGCTAAATAAACAATATAAACAATTGCAATGATCAGAATAGCTATTAATGCACTAATATTATAATCCTGGTCCTGAACAATTTTGCTTATAGCAAATAATGATACGCCAAAAATCGGTAAGAAAACTATTATGAAAATACTAATACCAATCAATCCAATGATGTTAAACCATGCAAACTACAAATTGAAGATGAGAAAAAATACTTTTTTTTTTTTTTATTTGACCATTTCATTCATACATGATTAAAGTAAAAAAATTTCTGAGAAATAATATATGATATAAAAAAAATAGAAAAAATATTGAAGTCTCAATTACATTGATGAATAGATCCTACAACAGATTCTGTTGATTAGCTAGTCAATCATCTTGGTCTATTTTGAATGAGATATGAATAGATCTTTTACGAGAGAACATATCCAATTGTCATATACCATTCAAGTCCAATGTTTTGCCTATTAGTAGGGCTTTTTGAGACTAAGAAAACTCTAAAAGAGTTCGGGATCATAGTGCATCTAGATGGAGATCTGATTGACATATAGATGTAAGAAACTGAAATTTTTTAGTTGTTTTTTTCTTTATTCCGAGAAGGTGAGATTTACAATTTTTAACATAGAATTTTCATTTGATACACGAGCCAAAGTCATATTCACTCGAGATAACATTCATTTAAATCTATTATATAAAATAATTATGAAAGTGAATATTTTCTTTTTTCTTCAATGTAATATAACTCTCTACTATTTATTGATAAATATTATATAACATTTTGAATTATTATGTAAAGATGTTCGATAAGTTCTATTCCTTTAGAATGTTGGATAGATTGAAAAACTAGTCTGTTTCGAATTTCGAGTACTCAGAAGAGATTTAATCAAGTGAACATGTTTATTTTTTGGTAGCAAAATACGAAAAAGAAAATGGTTAGGTTAGTTCATACGATATATACATTACCGTTGATGATCAGATGATTATCAAGCAAAGAGAAATATATATTTTTAGGTTATTTTTTTCTTCCTGCAGTAAAGTATAGTAGCAAAACTTAAATTAATGAAACATACAGATTTCTACTTTTTCAAATAACGAAAATAAAATCGAAGAAAAAAAACTGAAAAATTCCATTGTCTTATTTCATGTGAAAATGCTTTACTTTTGAATCACATCAACAAGCTCTATCACGCAATTCACAAGAATAGCGTTCGGTAGTTCAGCAGAAAATATCGAAATGTTTTCACAATAGTAATGAAATATTAGGATAAATGAGCAGATTAAGTGGAAAAATCTCTCTTTCTAATCATCTGAAGCAAATCTATAATTGATGCATAAAATGAAACATTTGATCTAAGTATATAAAATTAAGCATATTTGAAAACACCAATTGAATATTAATACTTAATGAATTGATTTGGTATTCGTTGGAGAAGAAGTAATTTATTGAGAACTCATATAAAATCGATGATGAAGATCATTCTCAATAGAAATGCAATTTTCCGCTATAAGGACACTTAAGAGTACTCTCTCTCTTTTTTTTTTATTTTTAGTTCTCGATGACGAACATCCAATCCCCATGAAATTCTTGGTACGGATAGAGCACCTAAAATAAGAAGATTATGTGCGAGAAAAAAAGAATATCAACAAAGTTTCTGCATTTTTTTCAATAAAACTCTGGTTTTCCATAGAACTACGACGAACTCACTTACAAT